TAAAGTAATTTGAAAACCTTGTGTGAGACGTAATTTCACAAGCAGCGTGATTGAATCACCATGCGCGCTCTCTCTCTCTCAAAATACGCAAATGGATTCAAATCACCACACATCGCATCTACCTATAAGCGAGCTGCACGCTGCGCAGTTGACACAGGAATTGTCACTTGCACAGTCGAGGCAGTGTCACATCGTCACTAAAGTTGATAAATTGCATTTCTTTTTAATTCTTGCCAGTGTTTAACCATTCAGCGCTCACGTGCTCTCCTGGAGACCGTGCGCTCATGCCCACTCGCAGCGCACACACATAATGCCAGGTTCACATTACTCCGTTTGCAGTGCGAATGTGCTGCGTATTTTTTCCGCAAAATACGCCACTAATAGATGGCACTCGTGCGTAGGAAAACAAAGTTCTTTATGAACCGCAGGATTGCTTGTAATAAAGATTTAAATGCAAAAGAAAAGGCAGTAGAGCTGTCTATTTCGGTCAATGGCAAGTTTGTGATAACGTAAGAAAAGTAGTTTAAATGTTTTGCTAATTGCTTGAGCAACTATGTTTGGATTTGAAATCAAAATAATGGATAAATGTTGTGTTTGTGGTAAACAGCCACGGATCAGTAGTGGACTCCTGTGTAAAAGCTGCTTCCCCTCTCACAAGAGTCACCTAAGAGGGCAATTCACCCCATTTTCAAAAATGAAATTCAGGCCCTGAATAAATGTCTAAAAATCCTGATTGGAGTATCACTATAAATAGTTATAAATGATAAAAAGAAGGCTTTAAAAAGATCGGTATTGGTGATCGGTATCAGCAGATACTGATTTCTGTGATCGGTGATCGGCCTCAAAAACCCTGATCGGAGCACCCCTAGTTGCAAGCATCTACCAAATATGTGTTGTCTGTGCAACTGCTTCTTGATGGAAGCAGGAAGTCCAGTGATATTCCCAGACCAGGGTGCTATAGTTTTGCCTCACTTTCCCCATCTGTACAGTACAGTCTCATCTGTTATTGTGCTCAGTTAACTTTCCTTCCAAAACAAGCAAACAAAAACCGTCATATGCACATAATCGCTAAATTTAAGTGTCCCAAGTACACACACAGACACATTTTTTTAAAAGAAACAAGGAATAAAGAAAGTGACATTAAAGTCATGAGACATTGGGTCTTGGCTGATCAGACGACAATAAACAGGCAGAAATACAAAAAGCTTTCAGCATATCAAGAGGTAGCATACTTCTCTTTAAAGGGGACATTGGGTGAAATATTCACTTTTTTTTAAGCTTTTTTTTTGCATTTATTTAGGTTTCTAGCATGTCTGCCAGCTCAGAAAAGCGGAAAAGAAAACACGCAGCCAGTTTGTTATGGGCTGCCTGAGTCTGCGAGCTGTGTCAATTTACAGTAGATAGCTAGCTATAAAGTATGTTACAGTCATTTCATGAAGACCCCAAAGAATGATACCAACTTGTGGAAAATGGGCATCCGATGTCCCCTTTAAAGTTCATACTTTGCCTTGTCTACTATTTAAAGCCATATGCTCTTAAACAGTCACATCACACTCGGTCAACAATAAAATGTCCAAAAAAAAAACTCTTAACCGAGTTCAATTAGTCACTGATTATCTTCTCCCAAAGGTGTTCAAAGACTCTCAGGAAACTATTTGCTCACTGTGAATAGTCTAAGCACACTTTAACAACAATTGAACATGATCTGTAAAGAGCACACTCTGCTAGGTTTCTGATTGTGAGAGAAAGACATCAGGTGTTAAGGGGTTCATACCCGGTTTTCATCATAAATTATCTGGACGATGCTGCGATGTTTGTGTTCCACAGGGGGCGGCGTCACTGGCTTTTCTGGCTCTACTGGCTTTGATGCCTCCTCCTCCAGTTGTTGCTAAGACACAATAAACATGACAATATACCTTAAACCTGAAACAAGCATATAAACACAGACACATACAATAATAATAATGAACATTTTCTGAACATGAAATCATTAAGAATTCATCAATAGCTCACAAGTTAACTCACAAAACATATTGCTTTGAAAAGTAAAAACAGACCTTTTTTTAGCACACAAATTGAAGCATCATTCATGTCTTTAGCATAACTGGTGTGGGATGGTGGTTAAAAGTATGAGCAATAATCATAGGGATGAATGACTACAACAGACACAATAAAACCTTCTCCCAGATATCAAAGTGATGTGCAGAGGTGTACCATTACATTCATATAAGGTCTCAACAAATTTCCCCTGTGACCTCCCTTCTAAAACTGCAATGCATAATTAAAGTTCTGTTACAGTGAGACTTTTTTCATCTCCTAAACAGGAGTGAACAAACAGGTAAAAGACAAAGATATTTTAAAGACTATAAAGACAGTGGTATACAATGCAAGATAACTGTTTGTTGTTTTTCTGTCACATTTTCACCATCGGGCCAGTAGGGAAAGTACCTTCAACCAGCATGCTAGTATCTCTACAATCAGATATTTAAGAAAAAGAAGATAGTAGACGGAGTGAGGAATGAATGTGTACACTTGCTGCTTATCATGATGCAAGCCTGAAGGATTTGGCATCACCATCAAAGAGCAAGAACAGTTGGCAAAGAAAGGGAGTTGTGACAAGCTTCTTTCAGAAGGGCAACATTTCCCACAAGGCTTAGTTACTGATAAATACAGAACAAAAACCCAATCTGCTTCTAGCTGTGAGCACCAGAGTAAGGGAGCTTTCCTGTGACATGGGGCTGAACCCTGGGACATGTGGGGAAAGTGTGAGATGGTCAGCTGTTTTGGTTGTGATTTAAACAAACAAATCTTGTCATCACACAACTAGCAACTAAAACTGCCATAAGCTCTTTATTTACAAAATTAACTATAGCTTAGAGCAGTGTTTCCCAAACGGGGTGCCGTCTGTCGAGAGCAGGGGTGCCGTGTAAAAAAATCCTTTTTTAATATTTTTAAATTGCTAAAATGTTTAAAAAAGCATCTATTATATAATACCCATTTCTGATGTCGCCAATAATTAGAGATGCACCGAAATTCCGGCTGCCGAAAATTAGTTCACCGCTCAGGTTTCACTTTCACGTGGTGTGACGCTCTGCGTATTATCCCGCTCTATGCATGTGCGCTCCGCTCAGTCGCTCCACTCGTATACCGTTCATGC